GGGCGGCGCCTGCCGCTGCCGGCAGTCATCGCGCGGCGCGCGTCGCACCACGTCACGAGACGGAGCTGCAACCACACGCCGCGGCAATATCGTACGATACGTAACTTTGTAGCTACTTTACAACTTTTTGATAAGCACTACGCTGCGGGGAGAGTCGATGGGCGATTGTCGGTGGATGTGAAGCGAATGCACAGTGCATAACACAGTGGCGAGGTGGCAGTGTAGTGGCCAGTGATGATGTTTATGACTACGAGAAGTGCGGCCCAGTGGCAGGCGTAGTGCGCGAGGAGCTCGCCGGACTGCACTCCTCGCATGTGAGTCGCCACATGTGTCGGCACCGGGCTCGCAAACTGTTGTCGCCGGTACTGTGTAAACTCATCCACAGCTTGCGGCTTAGTACTGATAGTGTCTCGTAAATAACATACTTACCTACCTACTTATAATAAGTCAATAAGAATGGGTACAAGTCAGTAATAAGCCGTGTTGTGCTGTTTTGACGGAGTCAAGATAGCAGAACCCTTTATTTGTGTCAACAGTATGTTAGCTACTTTACTGGTTTTCATTATGACAAATGAATAAAACTTTATATTCATCGATGTTTATGTAAAGTTATCGCTGACTGAGGAACAAGTAAAAAATACTAGGTACGCATTGCAATCATAAAATTATATAGGTAGGTACTCACGGATGGTGAGTTCAAGTCCTGTATAATTGTTGCGATAACGTAGAAACTGGTATTAGCTGAGCTAAGTTTCCCTTCAATCAGCACTCTGTCTGTCACAGTCACTTTGGTAGTGGAATTTGTTTTCAAATACCGTAACTAGTTCCCGACCAACGATTTTATTGGACATGATCACATGAAGGACCAGTACTTTATTAATCCATGTTTTGAAACATGCATGTATTTCAGTTCTAAAAATGGAGGGAATGCGACACTTGTTATTGTATGTTCACTTCTTGTCCAGTAACATTTTGTAATTTATTACGGCAATAACGATGGAGGGGGGGGGGGGTAGCCACGGGGGTACCACCGTAACCTGTCGATCAGAAGTTGTAGAGGATCTGTAATTAGGAGTTTGTCACATAAGTAGGTTAGGTAGTTTAATGTCATTACACTGACGACAGTGGAGCGCGTATATGGCGCAATAGCTGGCTGATCAACCGATGCACAATGTGTTGCGGGTTTGATTCTTACGAGGAACAATTCATGCGATCCTTAAATTGCAGTTCGTTGTTTGTATGTGACGTGTAGTGTAAGTGTTTGTGGTTGGATAATTCCGTTGAACCGAGAATATTACTGAATGAGAATGACATAAACAATATTCGAACAGATCTCAGTAAGTACAGAATACAGAGAGATACTGCGATTACAAGAACGGTTGTATATTGTAAATACTGTCAGTATCAGCATGAGTATACAAGTACACATCGTGAAAACCCAATAGTTAGTTTGTGGTCTATGAAAGGTGTTGACAAGGCAAACCAGTTTTTGCAAGTAGAGTAGTAGTTCATGGAGTCACTACATTGGAGACCTCGGGCAGTTGGATGAGTGTAGATCGTATTTGTAAGTAATGTCAAAATCTGTATAGAGATGACCAAAACTCCGTTCTTCAAGTTATACAAGTAATTAGACGTCCTACACTTAGTCTCGGACTTATACTGCGGATAGTTCGATGTCAAAATATCTCAGTGCTTACTGTGGCATTGACACTGAATATATTGTGGGTGGCAGAGTGAACAATGTAGAGGTACTTCAAAATAATGACGAAAATCTTGAGGTTATCAAAACCACCAAGTATTATATGTTGGTCGCATCAACATGTACACTTTAAAACATAACTCATTCTGTTCATTATTCGCCATCACCTTGCACAACAGCTCAGCCACCAAACATTATGTTGACCGTACACAAAGCAATATTTACTTGCACCTCCAAGAAAGATGCATATTATTATTTTGTTTCATGTAGTGTCGTGTTAAAGACCAAAATGTTTTGAAGTGAAACTGTTAAAATTAGCGAGTTAAACTGCGGGAACATCTAGTTGTAATAAAGAGTCTCAAAAGAAAGGCTAATGTAACTATGTATATCAGTTTACTTGTCTTGTCGTTCTCATCTGTCAGATTCTTGGAGATTCTGTGACTATGGAGTGTTTCTCGTAAGAAGGCCGCGCGTTGTGTGTGGGAGAGGTTTACAAAAACAGTCATTCAGTGACTGTAGCGCCAGCTAGCTGGTTGTTGGTACTAAAGTTTGGTGATTGCACCAAACATGTGATTTATATAAAAGACGTCAAAAGCTTTGAAGAATCCTGTACAGCGCTGAAAATCGAAAATCCAAGCGATCAAGTTTAAGAAGGAATAGTAGGTAACGTGGAGAGTATTAAATAGTTAATTAGTTTATTTGTGACGTCTCAAACCTTTTAAATCTAAAGCGCGTAAGTGATTTGAATGAGCATAGGTAGATCATCATTACATCATATTACTTCGCTTTTTGCCAGCGATTTCCTACGTACAAATAGGTTATTCACATTTTTCCCGTTCCCGTAGGAATTTATATTCCCCAAGGAACATACCTAAATGTCAAGTTTCAGCTTCCTAGATCGACTAGTTACTGCCAGTCAGTTACTCAGTAACGGATGACTTTTATATATATAGAAATAGACTTACAGCTGCACCGAAAATTCGATTGGCGCAAGAATTAGCGTCGCAAGATGCCAGTTAAAGGTAAATCTCTGACAAATAATTGATCTCCAGGAGAGGTGACATAATTTGGTCTCCGCCCTGAATGGCCCTGATTCAACCCCTGTTACTATAATTATATTATTATGATTGAAATGAACTAGATGTACTCGCGCCGTGTCGTCCACGGAGACACAGACATACGCTGATTCCATTCAAGACGACACTTAGTTTACACTTAGGACCTGTTTCACGATATCTGAATAGCCGTTATCTACTAGATAAATTTGAATTAAGAACGTAATTTGTATGAACTATCTGTCACATAAGATTGGCAGGTACTTATATAGAAGTGGCGAAACCGGCGCTTAGTCTGATTGAAAATATTTGTAAGCTCAACTGACAATTATTTTGACTAATTTTATATAAAAAATACATAACAATACTGTCTATTGTACTACGACACTGTAGTCTACTATCCATATTAAGCAGCTGACATAAACATAATTGGCATAAGACGATAATATCATTACGTTCTTTGGGTAGCTATCGGGACCGGGCAGTGAGCATATCTATTCATCCACGTCAACCGTAAACGTTCATCAGATTTAGTTACCTTATTATTATCAGGTTAATAATGGACGCAATAGTCTCACCCCGTTAGCACTGAAGCTCTACCTGTGCTCGCGGGCGTTCTTCCGGTCGATCTTGAGGTGCAGCGACGTGCTGCTATGTACTACATACAATGCAAGACCTAATTTGTCTGCAAGCTTTTTAGCACAACGTGATCGAAACAAAATTGTTAGATTTTGACTTTTTAGCACAACGTGATCGAAACAAAATTGTTAGATTTTGACTGCACGGTTGGTGCGGTGGCTGGGCAACCGGCTGCCGTGCAACGTGTCGCGGGTTCGATTCCCGCACGGGACAACACTTTGTGTGATCCACAAATTGTTGTTTCGGGTCTGGGTGTCATTGTGTATGTGAACTTGTATGTTTGTAAACGCACCCACGACACAGGAGAAAATCCTAGTGTGGGGCAACGTTTTTTCAAAAAAAAAAAAAAAAAAAAAAAGATTGTTTAAGCCAATAACGGACGTCTAGGCGAGAGGGAGTGTCAGACTCTTACTGACTAAAACCGGCAATGGCAAAGACGGTATTCCAGTCCCCTCGCTCCGCACCATGGCCTGAACCAGTGCCGGAAGCGAGAGGTCGCCGTCGCCGATCACATCCCTGAGGACACGGCGGTGCTCAGTTTAGGCAGGACACACCGTCACCGTATGTTCCAACGTGTCCTCCGGATGGTCCTCGCATTGATGACACCCGGGCGTTTCCTCCCGCCCAATCCGAAACAGGAACCTATCGAAACTTCCGTGTTCGGTAAGCACCTGCGTCAGGCGGGATGGATGGGAGGATGCCGTAGCGTCTCTCAAACCACTCCTCAAAGAGGGGACTTACCGCTGCAATGACAGCGAGCCTAATTAACGGACGTCTGGGATGAACTTATAACTGAATGGCAGTGTAGATGGGAATCTTCTATTAGGGACCGCTACCTTTATCAGTTCTTCCCATTCATGCATGAGCAGCTGGAGAGGACATGGCTAGCTCATTGTGTTGCCCAATTTCATACTGGAGATAGCAACTTTGAAAGCAAATTGTTCTCATTTTAATTTATTGATTCACTGTGGTGTCAATGTTTGACAACGGAGTTGCAATACGAGTAGTCCGCCCATCCCTACTCTGGCACTGAACGTAATACTATGTTAATAAAATTATTTAACATAGTATTACGTTCATATTAAATAATTGTTTCGTCGGGTGTAGCTAATAAGCTATAATAATACGGACTTTGTGGAATCTAGAACAAATTTTGCCATACCTTTTAATGGAAGCATAAGTATAACAGCTCACACATAGGACCCACTCAGTTTTTAGTCTTTCCGTGGTGCTTGGCGACTGGGCTTCACCCAGTTGTACAGTCTCTTTTGTGCCTTTAGGCTGAATTCATTCTGTCTCCTGCAGTAATTCACCGAGGGAAGTGGAAACTGTCGTTTTCTTTTTTCTCTTATAAAATCTTCTAATTTACTTCGTTGCGGGAACCAAGACAGTCATTCATGTCCCTGGGACGCGCCGGACTTCAGTGTTCCGGTGTTTTCATGGTTATATCTACTGTAGATCCTGGCTTTCAGGAGTTCAACCCATCCGTATGTTTGTATATTTTTGACAAAAGATATGCCCAAAATGTATGGGAAAACCCAGATTAGATTATAATAAGTAGTATGTGGTATGGTACAGTATATACATAGTACATATTATATTCTAAATTCGATAGTTAATTGTTTCGATACAACCATCACCAAGTACATTCATAATTTAAAACGTCCATCATGGTCTCGCTTTGTATGATCTTTTATCAGATGTAACAGTCAGTTTATAAGTAACTGCTGTTTTTATCGTGATATGATAATCTTGGAAAATCGTATAGGTTTTGCTTGGAATTCTCGTAAATGTAATTCCTTACTGTTATATATTTTCAATATATAATGCAATAATTATTTTACGTGTGAATAAAACAAGCTAGTCAGAAGCACACTGCATATATTTCATAAACAAAAGAAGAACATAAATAAGTTCCACTCTTGAAAGTGGCCAGCTTCCACTGAATATAAACATATAACTCTTACCATACCGGTAAGGAATTGCATTTGATTCTGATCTTATCTTTGTCGCTTTCTTTAGTAAAAAACACTTAAAAAAATACAATTATTTACGTGCCCACTTAATTGTACGATCTTCTGTGGTTGTATTTGAAAGAGTTGTTAGTTGTTAATGTACACTAGACTTTATTTCTGTTGCTGGTTCTGGGATACCACAGGGGTCGATACTGGGACCGCTGCTGTTTACAATGTTTATAAACAATTTAAAAAAATATTTCAAGAACTCGAACTCCCTGATATAGTTATTGTATTCATGCGAAAATTTTATACAGTACCGGTGTGAAACCCCCTCTATACTAAATACTGTGACAGACTAGAGAGAGTGCAGAAAAAAAACTTACACTTGCACTAGGCACTAAGCAGCCCTATGTTATATTCAATTATTATACACATAAGTATATAATATTGTAAGTTGACTGCACAATTGGTGCGGTGGTTGGGTAACTGGCTGCCGTGCAGTGTAACGGGTTCGACGGGGCACTTCTTTATGTTATCCACAAATTGTTGTTTTAGGTCTGTTTACTCCTTGATGCCATGATTTTACAAAGTTTGTGTAATGGCAGATACGACTGCACAATCATCACAAATGAAAAGTGTTACTGACTGTACCTAGAACTGTCCACTGCTAGAGGATACATGAATATCGGTTCTTCCATTTAACGTCATGTAGGACTAATGCTGAAATGCTCAATCTCTCCGACACCTTGTTGAGACTTTTAACAAATATTCCAATGATACTGACGCTGTTGTTTTATTTTGTAGCCAGTCCAAGAGGCATGCTATTGAACTGATGTGTATTTTGCCTTTATCATAGACGTGCCTATCAAACAACGGCCTCCTATACTTGATTATCCAATGATGTCCTAAGTATTCTAGTAATAGTACAGTAGGAGCAACTATTGCTTTTTTGTTTATATCGTTTCATTCTTTTTGATTTATAATAAAACTAGCTTCTGCCCGCGACTTCGTAAGCGTAATACCGATTTTTTTAAGCCCCCACTTGAACGTATAAACAACAAATTTATTCAAATTCGTTTAGGATAAATAACCTAGACTCCGACTGCATCGCCATCTGCCGGGCTGATTTGTGAATCTAAACCATCCAGGGTGCCACTTAAACACGTACAGAAAAAATCATTTAAATCGGTCAAGCCGTTCATGACATGTTTACCTCATAGAATATTATTGTCTTAGCTAACTAAGTAGTTGTGGAATGGGAATGTGGAATTGATGTTCTCTGTAAATAGTCATTTCTAGTTTTATTTTATTTTCTCCATTTGTGTTAGGTAATTTATTTCAAGTTGCACATATTTATTTATTTTCATATTTATTTAAGTAGATTATTTGTAATGTATCAACAGTAGTAGCATCATCAAAAAAAAGATATGTCAGTAGTAATCCCACCCGTAGTACACGCAATGAGTGGTGAGCGGACTGCAGCCAGTGTTGTTGTTGCAGGCGAGGGCGCGGCCGACATGTTCGCCAAGAAGGTGCGCCACCACAAGAAGTACAAGGTGCGGTGAGCGGCGCCGCGCGGCAGCACTAGCGCCACCATGCTAGAGGAAGGCAGCCGCGACCTGGCCAAGCGAGCGTACGCGGAGCCTGCGCCCCCCGCAACCACCGCACCCCCGGCCCGCGACGAGGCGCGCTGCTGCCTCGCGCGGGGCCGCGCTGACGACCGCCTGTTCTGCTGTCGCTGCGCGCACAAGCGTCGCGCCTCGCCGCTCACCTGTCTCGCCATCTGCTTCCTCGTGCTCACCTACAACCTGCTCGGTGGCTTCTTGTTCCTCGCTATCGAAGGCAACGTCACCACAGAGGAGACCGCAGTCGCCGCGTCCAAGCCGAACCTCAGTCAATCGCAAAGTGTCTCCACAGACTTGAGATCGAAAACGGTGGAGCGCTTGTGGTCCATCACCGAGGACTTAAACATTTTGTACAAGGAGAACTGGACCAAGCTGGCGGCTAAGGAGCTGCTGGAGTTCCAGCGCGTGCTGGTGAAGTCAATGCGAGGAGGTGGCGCTGCGCATGCGCGGCTCCCGCTCGAGCACGAGCACGACTACCGCTGGACCTTCTCCACCAGCTTCCTGTACGCGCTCACACTCATCACTACCATCGGTGAGACTACGCTTGTATATTGTGACGTAGGTTTCATACAGAATGTGGCAAAATGACAGACATCACATACACATTGTGTTACACTGCACTGTTGACTGACTGATTAACTGGTTGCTATGTAGCGAGTCTTGGGTTCGTTTCCCTTATAGAACAATGTGTAGACCCGACAAATCACAGATAGACAAATATATAAAACAGTGATTGTGATAATGATCTTATATAAAACATAACATAACATCACGCCTTTTATCTCCGAAGAGAGAGAAGAG